ATGACAACTGTCCGAAAACACGCGGGAAGCCCGACACAAAGATTTCAAGTCATGTCGAGAAAGAAATATTCGAAAATCATCTAGAGTACGTGGCAAATAAAGATCTGATTCATTTCTTCTTGATTTCTTCTGACTCAATAACAAGCATCCGACCACTATCAACTAAGGAAACTCAACAGCTTCCGACGGAAGTTTTGAACTAGTGAATGTTCCTGGAGGTGATGTGCTTCGTGAAGGTAGAATAACAAATTCAGAGAGAAATTGATGTCTACTATTGTAACTTCTTTGTTATTACTCTTTATAATTTTTTATTTGCACTGTATGGTTTCTGATTTTAGAATCAGAATATTTCATTTTGTGTTAGTCTCTCGTGAACCTTTAGTAGGAGTAAGCAATTGCATGCAGTATCTCTTAAGTAGTTCGAACATGGATAACCTGGCAATCCTTATCAAGACTCGAGGGCAATGTATTTATTATTATATTTCGTTTCCACGTTACAAAATAATGTAAAATGGCACATGGAATAATTCTTACCATTTTCAACACCGTCGGCTTTACCGTTCTCTTCACATTTTAATACCGCTAAATGAAGGAAATCAACCACTGTGCGTCGATTCTGGATTGCAGTATGCCCGCCGAAGCAGGCGATGTGCAGCCCGCTTATTACCGGGTCCTGGTAAAAAAAAGTGGATATATCCAGTTACTAAATATAGTAAAACCTGCATAACGTAGAGGAAAAAAAGAACACGTGAAAATTGCAAAAAGTGCAATTTTCCTGAGAGTCAACCTAAAACTGTAATATTGAACATAAATATTTTTTTCCTTAATGAAATCTGTTTCTTAAAGACAAATCTTCAAAAATGTTTGTTTAAATTTTCAAAAATTGAGTATTTTTTTGTAATTTAGCGCAAAATGAAAACCATTTAAAAAATTAACAATGTTTTTTGAAAAAACACCCCATCTTTCTTTCCAATTTTCGGCAAACTCTCCTTTTTTTAACAAATATGGCCAAAAGTTAACATTTCAAAACCACTTGACCTTAGACAAAGCCTGTTCTAAAAAATCAGCTCTTTAAAAAAGTCAATTGTTACAAACAAAACAATTTTACTATTCATTTTTTTGAAAAAGGATAGTTTATGCATAATTTGCACTTGAAAGTTTTGTAATTTCTAAAAATATGTTTTTAAAACTGCTCCATACTTTTTTTCACGGGTAGGAGGGACGCTTTAAAGAATGGCTCGGGTCTAATTTTCTTTGAAGTATCTGAATTTTCGAAAATTGCTAATTTAGAAACAATGCACGAAAGTACGTGTGGTTGTAGCACCTCTATTTGATTAAATTTTGTCGTAGGATGACGTAAATGACTTTTAAATGCAGTTTTCGTGAAGTTTCCCAACATTTCGAAAATGGCAAAAGTTCAAATTGTTTTCAGCGTCTTCCTTCAATTGGAGATAAAATTTTTCGTAATAAGGTTCTTAAAAGATCGTGGAAAAGTCATGTACAATTTGTCGAAAAAAGGACTAGAGTTGCGTAATTTTTCGTTAAATGTACGCAATTTTTAATTATTTTTTTTTCTTCAAAAAAATCTTATGCTTTCTAATTTTCTCTTCGGATCTATGAATAGACGCTAAGAGATGAATGCTAGTCTCATTTCCGCAGGCTTGTGTATTTTCTGAAGTTGCAAAAAAATCACATTTCAAAACTACAAAATTAAAAGTAGAGATTTTTTTTTTAAACTAAACCGGCTCTTTAAAAAAGGTACAATTTTTTTGAACAAAAAGAAAACAACTATTAGTTCTTGCTTAATTTATGATTGAAATTAATGCAATATATTACTAACAAAACTCAAAAATCGCCCAACATTTTTCCCACGTATAGAACAAGAAACGCTTAAAAGAATCGCATACGTCTCCTTTTCATTGAAACATCTGAATTTTCGAAAATTGCAAATTTAGAAACACCTGCCTCACAAGAGGCAATTTTATTAATTAGCAATTCATTCACATGAAAATTGTAAAAGATCTAACACTGTAAGGGTTGGAATGCTTTGACATGGAATGACCCAATTGTGGCGTCGATGGTGTAACGGTTAGCATATCGGACTGGTATACCCAAGTTCAGGAGTTGAAATATGTTCAAAACCATGCATTTTAAAGGGCGAAAAATCCTTCGTACGCCTTCTTCGGAGGGGAAGTAAAACCAGCTGTTCCATGTTGTAGATTTGCTGCATGTAAAAGATCCTCAGGACTAAATGATTCCTCTGAGCTAAATCCAAATCGCCTGTTTTGTGGCCCTACAAATACTTTCTTTCCCTGCTAGTTGGTGAAAGGAGCGTAATAAAATTTTGTAGGCAGATGGAAGAGCAGTCGTCATGGCCTGAGTCTCACCATGTAAAATAAGGTAGCAATTCAATTAAATTGCTTCAACTTGATTGAACTTGCTCTATCAAATACAATAGCATACGCTCGTTTGGATTAATAACAATTTATTTGAAAATTTTCCTACAAAAATTTGAGTGGTGAGTTATTTGTGGATGATTTAATTTATTAATAATGCATTAAAAAGATGTGAGGAATTATTTTTACCCTGGAATATTGCCTGTACCAATTAAATAAGACAACAGTAATAGCTATATTTGTAATATAACAGTTATAACAAAAAATCTAATGGTGGATATGTAAATTTGTTAGCATTTGGGGCTTAGTTGTTACTTCAAGAATGACAGATGAGCAGATATGATGAAGGGAGGATACCAGCGTTTGAAGCGAAATCCTGGCAGAAAAAAATGAAATAACTAAACACTTTCTGCCAAGTAACCTGCCTTCTGAAAGTAACTTGTGCGAGTGTGCCTGTTTACCAAGTATGTTGTAATCAAACGTACAATGTTCTTTTTAATATTTTTGCATTGTAAACAGTCAAATTTTATTTCATATACTGATACGATAAATAAGTGGCATATTAATTATTTGTGCATCAAACAATAATATTTCACTCAAGGATTGAAAACAAATATTTTCACTTCAAGACCAATCATTTAAATATCCAGGCTGAACGTGCTCAAGTCGATTTTAACTGTGTTGAGAATAATTGAGATATAATATTAAATTAGTTACATGCGGAAAATTGGTTTAGTGAATCGCTAAAGAAAACAATCGGTTTTCCTCCATTTCTTTTACTTTATTACTCTTTTTCATTTTTCTCTTCTTTTTTAACTTTATTAAATTTTATTTTATTTCACAATAACTACATGGTCATGAGCAGGGAATGAATTTATATGCACTTTAAATATATGAAATATGTAAATATTTTTGTGGTTATTTTTGATAAAAAGTATGGAGTTAAATATGGACTTAATATGATAAAAAATTACTCTGGTAAAATAATTATTTATTGTCAGTTGATAAACCTTCATCTTTAAATTATGAAATGTAACTTTTAATTTTGCACTGGGTGATTGTGCTATTTTTGACATTAAACACTGGCATAATGGAGAGATTATTAGAACTGAACCTACACCTAGTATTCTAACTGGATTGTAACTCTCAATAATGAGCTGTATAAGTTCAATTCTGATGTCCAAGTCTCTGCGACATCATGAGATTTCCCAGGTGGCAGCCTCAGAGGGAAGGAGAAGGGGTAGTGTGGATACTGAAACTAAGTGCTTTTCTCACAGACCATTGAGGTCTCGAGGTCATTTGTCAAACAAATCCAATAGTTTTCATTGCCTCCTTACACCCCCCTTTACTATGGGGGGCACTCAGACCCCTCAGACAAGGCCTCAGGGCCAGAGAGTGAATCTATTCTTCGCATAAATTAAAACATTAACAGGTTCTAACTAGCTTTCCCATTGTCAATTCTTCCAGATTTTCAAATATCTGTAATGTATGAGGAAATACTGAAAGTTTTAAACTCTTTTTGATGAGATGCATTTTTAATATTTTATACAATTTTACTGTAATATGCTTTACATGATATGCTACATGGACTAATTTTATAAGAAATACTTGAATAAAAATCCATATATTTTCTATATGTACCAAAACCCCAAATGTAGAAAAATATAGAAAATTAAAGTAGCATTCTTCTACTCCACAAAGAACGAAGATAATACAAATTAGTATTGATATTAGCTTATTTAGTAAATATGTTTTTACATAGAAGTCTGTTCCCTGGTCATGAGGGATTGCTAGTAGAGACTATTACATAGATTCAGTTAAGTTCAGTTCAGGGTTAAGCTGTGATATAAAGTTAAATATCACCAAAACTATTAACATTTCTACCGAATTAAATTACTTTCTCCGGAAAACTTGATGATCCTAGAATTGTCTTGAAATCATCTTCCCCTAGGTAAAATAGTCTCTTGCTGTAAATTACACAATAACAAAACTCACACTGATAGTTTTACTACAATATTCACATAAGGGTTATGGAGATTTGTTTATAAGGTTTATATGTGTTAGATGTGTGTTGCCTCTTTCTGATCCTCAAGATTTGATTTGTTCTCTAGATTTGGTTTGATTTGTTCTCTAGATTTCAAGCCTTGCCATACATTATTCCATTGAGACAATTTATGATTCATATACTTCCAAATATCTTGAAAGATGACTGTTTCTTCTTCTTTTTCCTCTGTCTTGGTTTTTCATTTTTTTCTTTCTTTTCTGTTTCTCATTTTCCTCAGTCTTGATTTGATTGGCTTGTTACCTCTTTTAATGTCTAATCTCATCTGAAAATGATGATTCTTGATTGAGTAGAGGTAAGCCCCAATTTATAAATGACTGGTCACAATTTGAGTTGGGAAAGGTAAATGTAATCAATAATACATTCACTTCTTAGAAGGGTATAGTTCAAAGAAAATTAAATTTTAATCACTTTGTAAGGATTCTGCTGATAAGTTTGTGATGTTTCAATGCAATATTTTAGGTTAGTTAAACATTTTATTTCGAATTGTTAACTTCACTGATAATTATATTGAAAATAAGATAAATGTTAAAATGTTGCAGAGGCTGTGAGTAGTTTATTAAAAGCTATTGAAATCTACACTGACATGGGAAGATTTACAATGGCAGCAAAACACCACCAATCCATTGCAGAAATTTATGAAACAGAAGCAGTGGATTTGGAAAGATCTGTTCAGCATTATGAGCAGGCAGCAGATTATTTCAGAGGAGAGGAAAGTAATTCCTCTGCAAATAAATGTCTCTTGAAAGTGGCCCAGTATGCTGCCCAGCTTGAAAACTATGAGAAAGCTATCCAGATTTATGAGCAGGTAATTAAATATCAGGCAAGTGGGTGAAGCTGTTGGTCATTCATTAAGCTTGCCTGTTTAGGGGTAAATGTTAGATTAACATGCACCCAAAAGGAAGTTAGGAACGATATGCCAGACTGCATGATAATGAAATTAAGGGATGTTTTACATTGCCTGTTTTTTCAAGAAGTATTTTTTCCTACAACTTCTGACTTATTTTTGAATTACTTGAAAGTGGCATTCTCAGAACGGACTCAATTTCTCTCTTCTCCTTTTAGTAATTTGGGAACACACATTTGGCAACGTTAGTAAATTCAATTTTGTTGTGGGGAAAACGAAACACTACTGTAAAGTAATGGTCGTAAACATTATCCCAAAACCCATTTGATATTGCTTTTCAAATCAATTGATCATGTCACCCAAGCCCGTCAATGAATTGGCATGTGATTTGGTGGTAATTACCTCAAAGCCATTGCTGCAACATATCTCATACTGAAATTTAGCACCATTGAATTCACTGTAGTTAAAAATTGGAGATGTTTTATCATAATTTTTCTATTACTGTTGTAATAAATGTAGCATCTTATCATGTACCTACTGAGTTTGATGCATGAACAAAAGTTCAATTTAAAGTGTCTTATTGAACCTTAAAATTATTGTAGGTGGCCTCATCTTCACTCGAGAGTTCTCTTCTAAAATACAGTGCCAAGGAGTACTTCTTCAGAGCTGCATTGTGCCACTTGTGTGTGGATGTACTTAATGCACAGCATGCTTTGGAGCGTTACCAGGAGTTATATCCTGCATTTCAAGATTCAAGGGAATTTAAATTGTTGAAGGTCAGTGCATGAGTATAAAAGCCCTTGATAAATATTAAACTTCTGAACTTTTAAGAGTGAAAATTGTAAATGAATTGGATTTTGTTTCCTGCTGGGTTTCTTGATATAGAAGCTAGCTTCATTGAGTTCGTTAAATATTCAGGATGTTATTTAGCTCTGACAAACTGATAACTGATATGGTTGTTGACCAGCTGTTTGCTGATATTTTGACAAATACACACCCAGATAAAGAAAAGTGTGAATTGTAATGTTCATGAAATTAAGTGTTTTTATTTAGATGCCACTAAGGGCACTATATTTATGCTTTATTGACAAGAAGTTGGGAATGAAAGAACATGAATTCCAAGTTATTAATTTTTAAAAACACTTAATGTGTGCTGATTTCCCTTGATGGTATTTTAGTTCCCTATAGGTTATGAAAGATTAAGCATTTATGAGTTGGAGTATTGGAAAAAAAATGTATATATCACATTTGAAATCCTGGTTTGAAAAGTCTTTTTCAACACATTGTGCCTAAACATGGTTTCTTGTGTGGAACAGTTAGTTTTTTTATTCTAACTAATATTGTGTGAAACATTACATAGTATGTGCACTTATTACATATTGTACTATGTCATTTTTAGTTACAAATGAAGATACAAACTTCTTATCATGATTCCTATTCTTTAAATCTTTGAAATTATTGAGTGTTATAATGTTAATTTTAGTTTATATTGAGTTTTTAAAACTGTAATAGAATTCAAATCTGGTAGTGATAAATTGAGGGTTGTTGTATAATGTTCCCTAGTTTGTTTGTTTTTAAGTACATGTTCCTGTTATTCGGTTATTGCTTGATTCTTTTAAGATTTGATTCAGAAGAACGCAATCAAAAAATTCCTAATTTTTCTGTCTTATGCTCTGTAGGTGCTTATTGACCATATGGAAGAGCAAAATGTTGACGGATTCACAGAAGCAGTCAAGGATTATGACTCGATTTCCCGACTGGACCAGTGGTATACAACCATTCTTCTTCGCATTAAAAAGCAGGTCAACGACAATCCCGACTTGCGTTGAGCTTTCTCTACTGCTGCACTCATCGTGAAGCTTGATCAATCCATACTTTTTCACTTCCCACCATCCAAAATAATGATATCAATTCTTAATTGCTAGGAATATGTACAGAAAATACAATGGCTTTGCATTTACTGATAGGTAATTGATTTTCTATCGCATTACTTTAGAAACTCCTTAAGTTTACGACAGGTATATTGAAGTTGGCAATAACAGCTTTTACATTTGTGATACGGTGGATGATATAATTGCATAAAGCAAGTTTGGTTGTAATTTATGAATGAACCTGCCTAAATAACCAAGTTATTGATGAATTAAAATGCTTGAAGTGTATTTGTTAGTATACTTTGAAGTAATTCAGAGGTATTTCTAAAAGTATGTATGTAATCAAATGTTTTTCTAAGTTACATTATGCTTTAAAGTTGTTGTGACTGAGTAACTCTTGTTAGCATTTATTGCAACAGAGTGTTCTTGAATTCTTCCTGTGTTAATTTCATGCATGAAAGGTGATGAATTTGCAATATTTGTTATTGTAACTGGAGTTGTTATGCACACAAATCTCACTCATTTGTAAATAGCCTAAAGAAAAATAGAAGTTTTGTATGAAACAGTAAACTGTGACAATTCTCATTATTGTAAATGGATTTAGTCTTACCATTCTTCTTCAGCTTTTAAGTGAATGTATTCACACATAGCATCATACGTCTTCAGTGTGTTTTGAAGTAGAAATGAGCACTACTGGAAAATATATGGAAGACACTTGAGAAGGAAAACTCCTTAACTTGGAATTTCTAGGAGACTCTTTAACGTATAAGAATTTGATGCGTTCTACTATCAACTCTTATAAACTCGTGTGGCAGACTAATTCAGTTATTGTAGTCTTGAGATTTGAATGTCATGTTTTGTATTGGACAGTTAAGGGGTATGAGAAATACAGGGAGAAGAAAACAAACAGGATTGTTAAGCCCAATCAGCATATCAGCTTATCTCTGATATTCATTAAATACAAGTTTTAAATAAGTTATTGTGTAATGCTGAAATATGTTATTTGTGCATTTTATATGCACAATATGTAATTTAGAAATTGATGCCGAAGAACATTTTTTAGATTACCTATGAAATGATGCAATAGTCAAAAATAAATGTCAGATTAGGTCATGAAGTGTAAGATTGCTTAATCTGAAAAAAGTTATTTTTATTTAATGTATTTAAATTATTATTGTACATGTAAATTTCTTTTAAATCTTTGTTATGTAAATGATATATTTGCTCTGTGTATACTGTAAAATAATTCTGAACAATTGTCTTATCAACATCTTCTCCTGTGGGAAACTGAAGTGTGGCTTCTTTGAAGTCTCTGTTGGGTGTATAGTTCCATGCTGCACTTCAGCAGTTGTGAGGGTATGTTTTGTTGAAAGTTATTAAATGTACAGAATGCTAGAGAATTATCTTATTAGAAGGAAATGGATGATGTCTTTGTTCTAATGTACTTTTGTGTTCATTGTGACATCTGTGAAGGTAATAAACATTGATTTACACACAGTTTTCCTGGTTACCTTAACAGAACATCAAAAAAATTTCAAAAAACATTGATTTGTGACATAGCATATTAGTTTTTGGATATTTAGTTCAGTAAATCAGAATTGGCAAAAACACTTCAAAAGAAACGTAGCTTACTAAATAAAAAACATTAATCCTTCCAATTAACTATAAACAAAATTTGTTACAACTTCACTGTCATGAGTGTAACTTTCTTCACTTTTATTAATTTAATTTGGCCCACAGTAACAAAAATATTTAAAACTTTTTGTAATTGAACTAGATTAGATAATGTTTTGTGTGTAGTGGCCTTTACTGCATTTTGCAGGTTTTGTTATCTTCACTTGCTCATGAGAACACGAAATTGTAAAGTTGATAAATTTGTTAGATCTGTATGTGTATTTTAAAGATGTGGGAAGTTCTGGAATAGTTATATATTATGTACATTAATTGAATAATTTGTGTGTTAGATGCCTTTTATACGTGTTTTCTTTAATTTTCTATGAAGTGCTCTTGAGAATTTTAAAGTTATTCCCTTTATGAACTTGTTCGTATAGTTTTTATAATTTTTCACCTTGAGCAATTTAATCTTTTACATAATTTTTTATGTATCAGTTGAAACTTTAAATACTTTTTTCCCTAGTTTCTCTCTTTATTTTGTTTTGCTTTGCTTTGTGAAGTGTATATCCTTTAAAAGACATAATTTCATTGATAAATAAAATGCCTAATTATAAGGTGAACTTAGGCAAACTTAAAATTCCATCTGTTTGTTCCTTAATCAGGTGTGTTTAAGTTCATTTTATTTGTTTTTTTAATAAATATTGTATATATCTTTTAAGGATGTAGCAGCAGCAGACATTCTGACTAGAAATCTCATTTTAAAGCAAAAAAAAGATTTACAGTTGAAAGCAACAAATGCATGATAGCACACCAGTGTATATTAATTTTGTGATTTAAACCTAAAAATCCTGTTTACAAAAGTGTCATTAGACTATCCTTTATATTCTTTCAATAGTAAAAACTGCTTAAACATTTTAGGTATTGAAATGTATGGTTGGTGACATTCCAATTTTGTTTCAACATTTATAAAATAATCAATGACTGAGATAACCTTATAAAATATTTTTGTTCCTTATATTTTTGTACTGGTGACTGACGTGATCAGTTGAGTTAAATATGATTTTTATGTTGTATTTAATCTTACTTTGATTATTTTATTGCACTTGAAATGTTCAATATATACAACACAGATGATGCTCTTAATTTGAAGCATGTGCATTTGTTAAGAATTAAAAGTTTTAGCAAATACATGTTCTCAAGATACTAACATGTCAGGAGATATTGTTAGAGCTTGCACCATTCATACACTGTGTAATGTTTTTGTTAATATTGTGTTGTAGTTCCTTATTTATGAATATTTTCCCCCTTTGAGAAAATGAGCTAAGATAGGAAACAGAGGGACATCCGTGTTTCATTGCAAAGATTTATTAACTGCATCTTAGTTTTGCCTTTGTTATTTATTATTAATTTTGATTTTTGTTAAATACTTGGATAATGTCATTTTCCCTGAACACTTCCAGTTGGGTTTTAACTCAATCATTTGAAGACTGTTTTCTCTGCAAATTTTATTCTGGGGCAGATGTCTCAAAGTTTACATCATCAAATGCTTGTTTGAATATGAACAACTTTTGCAAACAAATGCTTTTTATTCCCTTGGTCAGAATAGAATCTTAAATAGTCGTGTGTTAAAATAGTTTTGTGAATAATCAAAACAAAGTATTTAATTTGATTTGTTCCAAAAATCTTCAATCTTTGTTTTATATTTGATTATGTTGATATTTAATATTGGTGGCATGAAATATCTTTATGCAGTTGGTCTCTTTGCTGCCGCCCCCCCCCCCCCCTTTTTTTTTTTTTTTTTTCGCATCACAGGCACTCGATTAGTGCTTGTCTTTACTTTTGTGACCTTTTTTTAATCCCAAATCATCTTTAGTCATTTAATTTCTGTTTAAGTCATTTCACCAAATTGCAAAGAGGATGACAAAAGGGGTTACTTGTATAGATTACCTGTTATAAGCGTATGTATGGAACGTTTTATGAAATAAAACCACCAGTGATATATTTTTGTGTGATATATTTTCATCATCTTACTTCGTTTAGAACCAAAATGTAAGCTATGTACTGACTTGATTTCCTTTGGCGATTCATGCGATTGTGATTAGAGGGAATAGTTGTTCCTTCTGAGCAGAGTCCATAATGTTGATGTGATTTAGAACATTGAAATGAGGTGGTTTTGTCAGCTGTCATTTGAAGTATTGTATATTTTGGTCTGAAATTTTGTGAAAAATCTTCACTGCACCTAAATGAACAATTTTCGAAATCGAAAAGTCCCTCGATACTTTTTCGATTTGAATCTCCTAACCGACATCTACGAGCACGACCCAATTAAACATTTAACAACAATAATGTTTAGTAATAATAGTAAACCTATCGTCATCTTTAACTCAAATAGATTTTGAAAACGAAATTTCAAGTAAATTCAATCATTCTTACTTGACAAATATTGAGTTAAATATAAAAAAGCTATTGCATTTCATTATGTGAAAATGTGCAGATATTAATTTTTGTTTTAATAACAATACATCTAACAAAAATATGTTAAATAGAAAAAAGATTTGTTATTCTGCATATTTCAGTCTAATTAAAATTCAAATTGGTGTAACTTTTATTTTTTACTAAAATCCCACAATGCGTTCAATAGCTTCCCGACTGTTCATGTGTTTGTGTCATTTTAGGATTCGGACACTCAATTATAGTTTTTCTTATTAATAAAAAAGTCAACTTAACATTTGAATCAAAATCTGCCTTAGGTTTCTTTAAAAAAAACAGTGTTGATGCTCAGCTGATTTGTCTTACTATTTGCACGTTTCATAATTTCTATTTAAAGTAAATTATTTTTGGGACATACGAATTATGTTATTAATATTTACACTGCAACACACTATTTACAATTTTAATAAGTCATTAATTTCAAATGTAACAGAAAAAAAATGTGTTTCTTGTCAACGATAAAATCAACTTGCCTATTTGGATAAAAATCTGCACTTGGACAAATTCTGCACTAAAGGGAAAAGAAAAGAAAAAGAAAAAAAGGGGAAGGAAAAAAAAAGTAGCACTCAAACCGACTAACCGTCTTTGGTGAAAACTTACGGATCTGTATATAACAAAGACGCTATTCTCAGACATCTTCGGAAAACTTTCATCCTGAGAAGGGATAAAAAACGGAAGAAGAGTGCATGTTGCAATACACAAGATTTGGCCCACAAAAATATGACGTCAAAAGGTAGAGGAAATCCCACCCGCGTTGGGTCATTCTTTCGAACATTTCGGCCCGCTTTCATCCGCCTCCGCGGCGGCCCGTTGTGCCCGACGTTTTCACACTGCGTGCTTTTCAATAACGCAACGTTTTCAAACGCACACTTTTGTATCGTGCTTTTTTTAAAATTAAATTTCTTATTCTCTTTTAACTTTAGGAAATTGGACCGCATATCGTCTATTTGGGTTAAGTGGCTATCTGAGAACGTTCATATTTTCGAACGACGAAAAGTCAAAAGAAAAGTAGGATACTTGACGTAAGATTTTATTGCCACATATGATGCATTTATTTTGATTTTAGGGGGTCGGGAGGTTAGCGGGTCCAATTCTACGATTGGGGGGGTCGCTCAGACCCTCCTGACCCATACTTCCGACGTCCCTGTTTTACTTTATTTCAGTACTGGCTTTAAGTGATTCGTTTTGTCGCTTTCGAATCCAGATATCTGACGTCCACCTTATTTACTGACCCCCCAACGAATTCCATTTCTTAGTATAATAAGACATCGTTTGCTTATCGAGAATGGACGCCATTTTTGCTCATCCACTGTCATAGCGCTAACTTCCAGGATTCTAAAATAGAATTGAGTATCGATTTAGCCTACAAAATAACTAGTGTATTTTGTAAGCATGTGCAATGAATACCCACGAACGGAAAGGCGTGTTTACTAAGAAAAATATAATTACATGAATTACTTGTCACTGTGACGCTTTATTACGTGTGGTAGACGATTGCCGGACATTACGTTTATATACACTAACTTATCTTTGCGTTTCAAAGCACACTTCGAACTTACGAAACGTGGCTATTTTCGCTTCGCTAAGAAGAATCTCATCTGCTTTGCTCGAAGGCCAAGAGTAGTATCTCTGAGTTGAAATATAGACTGCTCTCAAAAGATCGAGTACATCATGCACAATGAAATAATGAACTACATGAGCGTTAATTTATTAATTTCATAGATTAATGAATATTCCTGTACATTATGTAAGGAGCTATGGATATTCCTAGCTTCATGGTTAATTTCAAGACATTAAAACTTTTTTTTCTGTTTTTATTGTGTTTTATTCTGTTAAAACTGTTGACAGAGGCGAGTTATAACATCCAGGACAGAGCACCTTTCATTTAAAGCAAAAAATCGCGACATTTGGTTGAGAACAAAGCTCAATCTTTGAGAATTTATTGAACTGATTGCATTATGGGATGAAAGGGACAAGTCCTTTGGCAGTTACAGGTGGAAAGTTGGGGCCAGATCAGTAGGGCGTCGCTTCTCTGGCTGCAATGCATGTCCTCACACGGCTCGGAATGGCGCTAAACAGCCTTTGGATCCTCTCTCGAGGCCTGTTCGACCACACTAGTTGTACTTTTCCTCCAGATCCTACAGGTTGGTACTGCTATGGAGTCCTCTTCCAATGTAATCCCACAGGTGCTCAATGATGGAGATGTTCGAGAATCTTGGCCACTGAAGGACCTCAACATGCTCTAGGGAGTCCATAGACACGTGCTTTGTGTGGGAATGCATTAGTTTGTTGGGATACTGTGCCAGGGTGTGCCTTAACGGGTGGGGTGTGCGGACGCAGAATGCCTGTGACGTATCATTGCGCCATCAATGTCTTCTGAAGCACTATTAGAGGGGATTTGAGCGAATATCCGATGGCTCCTCACGCCATGTTGTCCGGGGATACGCCTGTCTCTCCACAATATGGCCCTCTGCCCTTCACGCCGCAGTATTCGAACACGATGGTCATAGGTTATGGCGAAGCGGGACTCATCACTGAACACGATGTTTCACCATTCGGCCTCTGCCCATGCCTCCCGGGCGCGGCACCCAATCCAAATGCAGAAATCGGTATTCTGGTGTCAATGGCAACCGACGCATGGGGCTGTGGGACCTCAATCCACGAACGCGAGTCGTGTAACGTATTAGCCAGCGTGCCTCATGGCATCTATTTGGGGACGCTTGGAAGAGGATTAGCCTAGCCACAGGAAGTAGGGTTTTTCCGTAAAGGGAAGAACGGGAGACACAAGGCTTTGGGAGTATCCGGCCTATAGAAACTTTTCACTGTTATAACAAGCGAGGGGGTGGCGTGACGTAGTAGGTCACGTGGGCCTCACCTATATAACAGAGTGTACAGAGCCAGTGGGTGGGTTCTGGTGACAGTGGGAGAACCTCGTGCGTGTGCACAAAACTTGGCGCCACGACGGTGCATATGCGAGACAGGCTCGCGAGGCTCGAGTCACTACTTGACGAAGCCTGCGGACTTTAGGTCCTTGGGTGACTGCGGTCACGGGGAAGCGATGCTGTGTGCGTGCTCCGAGGTGAAGAGTGGTTGAGTGCCACGATTCACGCCGATTCTCAATCGGATAAGATCGTTCCTGCGATCGAGGCAAACCAGCCGTTGGTGCGCCAGAACGAACTTTGTGTCCCAGCGTGACATCCGGTCACGGAAGCTAGGCTTTGTGCGCGCTTCAAAAGTAGGAGTGGCGAATGCCACAATCAAAACCATCTTCAATCGGGTTTGGATCGCTCCCGCGATCAGGGGATAGTAGGTCTATCAGAGCTAGGGTGTAAGTAGATTATTAAGTGTATATATTTGTTTTGTTTTCTTGTTAATAAATATATTTGTTATACGAAAGCTCTGTGTCTGTGGTCGCTGTGAGTATCCATGACGTCACAGTCGTCAAGCCACTGCGCCGGAACTCACAGACTGTTGTAGAGTCACCAGTACATATTCGTGGAAGTTGGACGCCAATGTCATGAGATTCTGCGCTGCTGGGCGCACCATACAACGGTCCTCCCGGGTGGTATTCCTTTGTGGACCCGAGCTTGCACAACGTGCACGGAACGCTCGTGTACTCATTGATTCCGACATCGGGCCACTGTGACGTCTGAATGGCCCACATGCCTGGCAATTGCACGATACGACTAACGAGCCTCGTGTAGTCCCATAACGCGACCTCTGTCAAACGCAGTCAACTGGTGGATACGCTGTCGAACGCATCTGCGCGGCATCGCAGTTGCTTCGCACTGCATGAAAACGACGTTCTTCACTGTCTGACTCGCACAATTCACTTGTAACAACTGTGCAAGGACAGGGCGGTAGCATCACGAATGCACTCTGGCGGATGTTCTACATATTACAGATACTTTGGAATGTAATAATTTACTCTCACGCCAGTGGTATGCATGTGCACCGAAACGGGATAATATTGGACTACTCCCTCCCTGCAACACTTTTTGTCAGGTTTGTGTTTCGCGCCTAGTGAAAATGTAGAACGTTTTAACTTTCCACGGATGTTCCTTTGATTAGATGTGGTTGCAAGGGCTCTGCTAATTCAACTTTATTTTCAAATCTGTCGTACACCTCCAATATTGAAGTCAGAGATTAATTCCTCAATTAAATAGTACTTTATAAAACGAGCTACCCCCAATAATGAAAATTAAGCAATGGGGCTCCGTAGACAGCTGACTACAATTCCTTTGTTTTTCACAGTGCATCCAAGCGATGAATGTGTTGTGCTGATCTCTGGAAGCGAAAAAGTTGTACCACTTATTACTGATATTTCGTTCGTAAATTACAGAAAAATTTCCATTGATATTGATTATGAGTTTTTGGCAGAAAAGCTCAACCCATATACAGTGCGTTCCAAATAAAATCTCTTCGCAATGAGCCGAATCAAGGCTACCTATAAAACAATTGCATTTACGTTGTTATCTGAAATCAATGGAAAACAAGTGAAGGGGACAACACTTGCAGCATCTATTATGATTGTAGTGAGTACGCAATCAACGTTTTCAAGCTGCAGCTCGTGTTACCAACATTATTTCTGTTGCAAGCAATCTCACCAGCAATGTGCCCTTGCAGACCGACTTTCCTGGCGCGCTATGCAAGTCCGTGTGGAAGGTGCTGTGCGCCTTGAAAACACGAAGCTTCAAAGATTCAAGTGTTACGGGTGATTCGACCAGTACGCTTTGCGACGTGTGAGACACCGGCGGTAGTGATGTCGAAGAAAGATGGGAGAATAAGACTGTAGGGACTACAAGGTCACAATCAATAGAGTTATGCGGTCAAACTGGTATCCATTGCCATCGGGGAAGTCATATTTGTAAAACCGGGAGATGTGGCTCAGTGCATCAACTTATCTCAGTGTAGTGCCTCTAATCGGGAGGTCCTACATTCGGGTCCCAACGGTGGCTGGATTTTCGACACTTGCGAGATAGCTAGGTCGAGTTCAGTCGTCTGAAGGAGATTTCTAGCGGCCGGTTGTTCTAATTGGTATTTTTTCCGTGGATTCTCCGATCAACACGAGGTAAATGTCGAAACACTATTCTAATAAACGGACCACAGACCACGCGCGATCTTTCCTTCCTCTTTCTTCTCATAATCTCACCCCTTATTCACACTTACTCATACATATACTACACTACCACAGATGCCGAGAACAGATCGGGAGCTTAGAGCTAGAATGGAGCTCGCAGGAGGGTGATACCTATGTGGGAAAAACCTGTTAGCCGACGGTAGATTGGCGCGGGATCACTCCATCCAACGGGGGAAGATCACAGCTATCTAGATATAAAAATACAAGCACTACACTTACGGGATTGGCGACTTTTGTATTTGACGCGTCGGAAATCACTAATCAATCAATCACATTTGCAAAGTTGTGTGGGAGTACAGTGTCCTCAAAGCTTGTCCTGGACCAGGCTTACACTCAGCTGCCGGTGGACGAGGATGTTGCATGGCTCTTGACGATCACATCAGTCAAGGGGCTATTCACGATTCACCGGCTGCCATTTGGTATAACAGTCGTCAGCGCCTGACATCTTCCAGCGTCTGATAAAGAGGCTGCTGACAGACGTGCCTGGGGATGTGGTACTCCTGGATGGCATAGTGGTCGCCAGGCGGACTAGAGAGGAGCACGATAAAAGAGTCTGAGGAAGGTTCTTGGCAGACTATACACAGTGGATCTAAGGCTACAAAACAGAAATGCACCTTCTACACTGCACCGCTGGAGGTGCTGGGCTATTGATTGGTTGTTACAGGACACCTACAAGAGAAGGTAGAGACTATTGTTGAGAAACCTGCTGCGTGTAACAGATCAGAACTAGAGGCGCTCATGGGAGTCATCAATTTCTCTGACCGATTCTTGGACCAGCGAACAACCGTACAAGATCCCCTGTGCAGATTGCTTGATTAAGTCACCGGGTGCAAATGCATAGATGATGGGGATAATGTGACCCTGACGGTAATAAACGTTGATAATGTGGAGGTCATGCTGACCAGTGAACCAGTACTGGCCCACTATGAGAGGAACTGTCCTTTGATCGTCGTATGTGATGCTTCACCATATGGAGTGGCTGCAGTGCTCTCACACAGTTGAAATTAGATGGGGTCACCCTATCGCCTTTGAATTCCTAACATTGTTTCAGTCTGAGCGCAACCATGTGAAGATTCAATTGACAATGTGGCACTGGTCTTTGTGTTTGGGACACTAAATTTCATAAACTTATTCGTTATCTACTGTCGTTTGTGGGTGAAATTTGTGAAACACCGTAAACCCTTGTTGGATGTTTCCAAGCAAGGATCCAAGACGACTGAACACCTGTCGCCCACGATGTTATATGCTGTAACGTCGTGCCAATGTGCCCGCTGGTCCCCGCATGTCGGGAGACCAGCGAGGGGGCGCGGGCAGTCCTTTGGCGGCAAGTAGAATGCCGCCAAAGCCGGGGCCTCTCCGAGGGGCCGGGGTGGGCGGGTCTCGGAACGCGGGTGTCAACTGGCGCAGAGGGAGGTGACGGCCGCTGGGCAGCTGGGCTCTGGGAATTGCAACCAGTGTTGCCAGATGTGTTTAGAGAGATTCCGCCATGTTCGTTTCAGTTTCCGCCGAAAATCCCCTGAATTGGTTTTAAATTTCCCGCCTAAATCCGCTAAACGTAAAATAAATTATTTTTCTATATTTAAATGTTGTATTAATTTATTCTATTAAAACAAAAATATGATTGCGAAATATATTGTCTTTATTGAACTTCCAATTCAATTTTTAGATAGTATAGAATGCATTACTTGGGTGAAAATTTGCAAAATAATAACAATTGATTTCAGGTAGTATATAATTTATTGTTTAAGTATTATATTATTTGTTCTGGCTAGTAACATGGAGTTAGAAATTTTCAAAATATACATCTGTGCGAGACAACTTATTAATAGAGGTTAACGAAAACGGATGCTTTACTAATTTTACTGCTTTACTAACTTTATTAATTTCCGCCGTTTATTCCGCTGTCCGCGAAACTCATTTTTTTTCGCCGTACGAGTTCAAAATCCGCTGAAAACGGCGGAAATTCCGCCGATATGGCAACACTGATTGCAACCAGGCCCAGGGTTCGGTAATGAGATGACAATGCCGGCACGGGAGGTCTGTCATGTGATCCATCTTGAGGCGCCTGGGGAGTAACCAGCCGAGGTCATTCGAGTTTGAACCCTATCGCGGTGCGGAAGGCACTTGACACCCGCCAGGGATTATCACTAGCTTCGGCTGCGAGGTGCGGCTGTTCGCCACGGGACGGGAGGCCAGGAGCAGCGCCAAGTTAGCCGCTGGGGTTTGTGTCAGGCTGAGGCGGGTATACCTCAGGGAAGCGCTAGTTCCTCAGGAGTGTAATTAATGTATAGAAACATTATAAATAAATCTGTACATAACATCTCCTTGTCTGTGTTTCACTCGCACCCCGACGACGTCACAATGCCCAAGTGGTCACTGACACTGACTTGCGGCGCGGCGTACGGCTATGAATGTGTGTACAGGAAGAGATGTCAGCATGTAAATGGAGATGTCCCGCTTGATATAAGACCACTTGTGCAGGTGCTTGACTCGTATGCCGAATGGAAATGGATAGGTGTAGCGGCCCAGTAAGATGTGGAGGTCAAACTGACCAGTGAAATGTACGCCATCTCATGTTTTCTCCAAATTATTCCAATACTCCAAATTATTTTTTTAATTTTCTGCACATTATTATGTAATAAGGGACGGTAAAAAATATGGTGCTAGTTCCATCTCGGGAATTAATAGTTTTTTTTAGAAAATTCAAAACTACAAAATTGAAGGTAGATATTTTTGCTACAAAGTTCATTGTACAAAATCACCTCTTTAGAAAAAGTCGTATATAATTTTTTGTAAAAGTTAGTAGTTTTCGAGATTTCTGTTTGAAATTAATGAAACTTATAAGCAAACTCTGAGACAAGAAAAAAATCTGAGAACAGGAAGGGATCAAAAGATTATGCAAAATAATGAATGTTATGTTAGTCATAGTTTACCATTGAAAATCCCAATATTAATTTGATTTTTTTCTATTCTATAATGTGTATTCCCGATCCTCATTTCCTTTGCTTCATGAAAGTAATTTGAAAGTTGTTCCTGTCTACCGAAATTAACGCATGTATGCACCACAGGCGGGTCATTTGAATTGGGTGGGATTGGATTACATTATCATTATTTCTAATACTTAACATGAAAGAAAAATTGAAAAACATTGAGTATCATAAAATTGTACGAACATTTTAACTTTAATTTTATATTTCCATCGTATACTGCCTTGGGAAACAACGGAGCAATGTGTATTTGAGAAGTTCATTGTTGAAGGCTACAAGATAAGATAATGAAATGTGACATTCTTTTGAATTCTTCTCTTTGTTGAACGTTAAAATGGAACCATTATGAGGCTTTGTTTTATTTATATATTTGTATATTTTTTAATTTAACGTCAAAAGATGGAAACGAAACGTTGGTTTTACGATTAGTAATTAGAATTTGAGGAATTTTTTAGGCGTAAAACGGGGCATTTAGCATAACATGTTACATGACAAGACGTAAGTGTAATTCGAGTAAAAGGAGCAAAGGGGCCCCCTGGTGTTCGGCATCAATCTTGAAAGCGATGGTGCTATTCCTAGTACTTTTTCCGTCGTCTCTGTAACATGTGGTCCAAAACTTAGCTTCCTGTCAATTTCCATTCCTAGGTAGCGAAGGCTCTCGCGACATTGTATTTTTCCTTGTCTATTAGAAATGTTGGGTTGGAGTCTGTCCGTGTTGAATAATGCGTCCGTTTTATGGGCTTCCTCTTCCAGCCCTTTGGACGTCAGCCATCTCATCACTCTTCTTGGGGTGTCGTTTACGATGACCTCCTGTAGGGCCGATGTTTCTGCCGTTGCCACTATTATTGCATCGTCAGCGAAGCCCACTATTGAGACATTTTGCGGCAATTTTATGTTCAGTAGACTATCGGGCATAATATTCCTTAAGACAGGACCAAGTTTGGAACTTTGTGGGACGCCACAGGTCATTTTAATATCAATAGGTTTTCCTTCGCCTTTGTAAATTGTCTTTCGGTTGCTTAGGTAGCTCGTTATACTGGCAAGGTACTCTGGGGTGTTCTTCTCTATCAGAACCTTGATGATCTCCTATTTGGCCGAGTTAAAGGCGTTCCTGATATCGAGCGTTACGGGGCACAGAATTCTTTTTTTGCTCCCTCTTTGGCTTCTCTTGCCTTTTCTACGACTGTTTTGATAGTGTCTACTGTCGATCTACATATTCGAAAGCCGTATTGCATTTCTGACAGACCGTGTGTTTCCTCTAGCCATGTCTGTAGTCTTAGCAGAATCTATTTATCTTTCTATCTATCTATCTATCTATCTATCTATCTGTCTATCTATCTATCTATCTATCTATCTATCTACCTTTGTTTATGTAATGCTAAGGAAAATCGATTTGACGATTTCAACGGAAATACTCGATTTAGGGTCCCTGATATCGAAAAAGTGTTGTTTTTTTTCCAAAACGTCTTACTATTCATCTGTCCATTCGTCCTTCTGTCAGTCTGTGAACACCATTAGCCCCAAAACCATACGTACGATTTTTTCCATAATGGACATTCCCCGGTCGATCTGGCTCCATTCAAGTCGCTGCGATTTTGAAAAACTTTCTTTAAAATTTGGGGGTACTTTACACAAAGCCTCTCGGATATTTTTAAATTTTCTCAAACGGCTCCAATTTTTTTCTTTACATTTCTTGTAATAAAAGAGTAAAACACATATAAAGGTGGCATAGGTCAGATTTTCACGGATATCTCTGAATTCTCGACAATTGCTAAAGTTTGAATTTTTCCGCGTCTTCCTAGAACTACAAAATTGAAGATATAGGTTTATCCTTCATATAAAATTTATTGTTCATACTGATTTCTTTCATTAAAGCCATTTAATTTTTTTAAACTTTTTGTCGTTTTCGCGTAATTTTGCGTGCAATATTTGCAATTTTAAAAAATTACAAAAACAAGATTTTCTCAAAAACGACTCTAATTTTTTTCTTTAAACTTTTGGTAGGGATAGTGCTAAATGCACTCTATAAGATGATATAAACGCCATACTGCTCTATTCTTTTGTAGTTTCAAAAATTACAAAATGTAATTTTTGACTTCTTTTTCACATCTTTAATATTTATATTGGCGGCAATTTGATCACATTATTATATTTATGAGTACATGCTTATGCTTGTGGATGTACATGTGCTGTTATATAAAGTTTCTCGAAAACTCATCCGTTTTCAGTCAAAATTAGCTCAAAATTCAGCATTTTCAGAAACGCTCAAACGCCGTTTTCTCAAAACGGCTCCAATTGTTTTTTTACCCTTTTCGAACGGATAGTGCTGATTGCACTATCTTTAATATGACGTAAAGTTGATTTAGGGGTATTTCGAAAATGGTCTTGTTTGGATAATTACGCAAATGTAATTTTTTTGAAAGACTTCTCGTGTCTTTAATATTCATCTTTCCAAGGATTTGTAAAGACTGTTGTATATTTGAGTTAAATTGCTTCAAATGTCTTCATTTGAAGTTTTTCAAGAACTCAAAACTTTTCTGTGAAAAGAGCTTGAAATTTCGAATTTAAAAAAGGGCTTAAACCTCATTTTCTTTGAAACGGCTGCAAATTTTTCAAAGAAAATGGACATTTATGACGAGGTTTACTGTGCTTTAATATTCTTAAAATAATATTTCCGTTCTATCATTACGAAAAAGAAAAAAGATTAAGAAAAAGTGGGCGGCGATAGATGGTAGTTGGCAAGAGTATGTGGCAAGTTCATATAGCTAGACGAGACCAAAGGAAATAGATAACTAATATGGAAAAGTCTGTGCCATTCTGTAGAACCACTAGTTTTTCATAATTAAGGATTATTATTATTATTATTATTATTATTATTATTATTATTATTATTATTATTATTATTATTAGAACCTTTTGTAACTCTTTGTTTACAAAACAATTTCAAACAGTCCTAATCGTAATAGCTTTGTGGAAACTCCGGCGATCTCTTACAGCCTGGTCTGCCCATAAACACATTGCAATTCTATTTTAGTTCCTGTTGATGTAGAAAATAGTTGTAATATTGGATCAACATAGTAAACGTTGAACTAGTTCTTCAAAAAAAGGAAGTGGACATCCCAATTGCTGCTCTATTCTTAAAAGCCCTAGTAAGGCAGTTGAATGTTTGGTTCTGAGCGAGTCAACTACTTAGGTCATTAGCTCCGTAAGGTTTGTGCATGTTTTTATAACGGGAGGTGGCGGTGATCTTCCCCGCTGGATAGTGAGATCCGGCTCCAGCCTACACGTCTGCTTACAGAGTTCCTCAAGGTATCTACTGCCAGCCTGGTACCGCCTCAGCCGAGACAAGCTCTAACTCGACTTGTCTCCCAACTTTTGTGGTAGTATAGTGCATGTAAGTGTAAGTGTGTGGATACGACAAGGAGGAAAGAAAGCTCACCCGTCGTACGTGGCCATTTTGTTAGGGTTCTGCTCCGGCATTCGCCGGGTATTGATCGGAGTAACCACTGAAAACTAGCGATCAAAGCAGACAGTCGCTAGAATTGTCCTCCGGGCTGAAATCGATTTAGCTAGAGTAGAAAATCATGACAGCGTCAGGACTTGAATAGGTATTTTAGGATTTTGGTTTTTGAAAATTTTGCGATTTTAAAATTGTCGTGCCTTTGCAACGCGTCTCTAAGCTCTTCCGAGGCATTGATTGCTGGGAGTAGTCATCGTCAGTCGTTGCGTTGCCTTTTATCCCTTCGGCCACGGACTCGACGCCGTTAATCCAGGAATTCCCAGACGGTCACCCAGCCAGAAACCCGTGATGTCTCGAATTCGCTTAACCTCCGTGACCTCACGGAGCGTAATGAAGGAACTCGGCTAGAAATGCCGGTTGTGAAAGCGATGAAATACAACACACGAGTGAGGTGCTTTCAAGAACAGGATATCCTTTCTCGTAGCTTCTGTTTGCATTGCATGAATCATATCTTTTCTTTATATAGATGAAGCTCATGCTGCCACACTTCTGGCCACTGCGTAGCGCACATAACGAGAAAATTTTCGGGCATTTCGCAATATCTGCGATGATAATTCGGGAGATAGACGTTTTGTGATCGAAAATGACGGTCTGCAGGCATGACACTAAATATGGTATGATGCTCATCAACTTGTAAAGATATGCAACCATTGGTACATTATTCAGGTTCATTATTTCAGTGAGGTAACGGTTAGCGTATCGGACTGTTATACCCAAGTTGGCGGGTTCAAAACCTGATCAAAGCTGTGGAGTTGTAAGGGCGAAAAAATCCTGCGTCCTCCTTCGGAGGGGAGAATAAATCCGGCTGTCCCATGTTAGTAGATTTACTTGCATGTAAAATATCCTCAAGCCTAAATGACGCCTCTGAGCTAAATTCAAATCGCCTGTTTCTCGCCCAAGAAGTACCTCCTCTCTCTGCTGGTTGATGAAAGGAGCGTAGCGAAATTTGTGTGATCAAGCAGAAGAGCGGGCCTGATGGCCCGAGCATCGTCACGTAAAATAAGGCATCAATTCCATTCATTATCACCCTCTAGGGGTGGGAGAGCATGGGTCAAAAAGGCTTAGTTTTCGTTTGTTACCTTCTTTTATTTAGCAAAATTTAATTAAATATTTATATATGTTAGAATTATGTAATTCTTTAAAAAATAATATTGTTTAGTATCATAAATACTTCAAAAATTATTTGCAATATAACAACAAATGTTTATTATTAAACAGCATTGTATGATGACTCTCTCCAAAATGATCGACTGGATCTGCCCGTGATACTAACTGCCCCATCCTCCTAGCCGATAGGGGCAAAGGACAATGACATGGTAGAAAACGTCTATGTTCAAGGGTTAAGGAACAGCTTTTATTTAGAAAAAATCTCTATTGTCAATATTATAGTTGTAGGAAGACGCCCAAATAATTGCGTTTTTTACAATTTTCGAAAAATATGGACTTTTAACGAACATGAAGCCTGCACCATTTTCTTTTAACACAAATATTTATTTCTTAATCTAATATATATATATATATATATATATATATATATATATATATATATATATATATAGTCATATAGAAGTACGTAAATCTTTCGAGATCTAGGCAGGGGCTCCAGCTTGTCGTCTGGTGTTGTAGATCTTTATTGTAGTTCCGCAGCCAGCTTCCTGTGGCATGGGGTGGAGGAGGGTGCCCGTGGGGACTCTGTCCCGCGCTATGTTTGTACTCAGTGACTATGTTTTCCCTTAAGACTTTTAGCTTGTGGCCGTCTGCAACTTTCTTTAGTGCGGCGTCACTACCCGCACACCATTCTCCCAGTGCCCCTATCACAAGCGGGAGTACTTCGGCGCTGTGGGCGTCCCTATCTGAGGAAAAAGTTTAATCAAAAAGTTTGGTGTCATTTGTGAGAAAATTTTAAAATGTGTTTGAGACTTAATGTAAAGCATCTTCAAAAATCGAAATATCCGATTGAAACTCCCCAAGAATTGAGTTCGGTCAGATCGATCGGGGAATATCAATTTTGAAGAAAATCGGCTGAACGATTTAGGCGCTAGAGTTGACGACGGAAGGATGTTTTGCCGTCAATCGATTTTTCGATTTCAAGAACCCACAAAACGAATTCTGACTACACCATCTGATAGAGGAATAATTTACTATATAGAGCATCCCCTTTTTCCGTTACCAGGGCCCCATAATAAGAGATTTCCTGCCGAAAATTCGCCGCTTTCCGGCGCACGCTTATTTATACACAACTCTCTCTTCTTACGAAGTAGTAAGTGCGAAAGCCAAAAATGGAAAGCGAAAAAAAGATGCGGTAGTGTATGAAAGTATATTTGGGCTTTTATTTCTTGGCACGCGAGACCTTGTCTTCACGATGGAATATCTCACGGAATTTCTCGTCTTTCTCAGTCGTGCCGTTAGATGTCGCATGATCGCCAGCACTGCTCGATACGATCGCGATAGTAGTCAGTCGTAAGTACAGCTTACAGCAGTTACATTACTACTACATCTCCATTTTTTCTCCATTAAAATCGAACTCTCCAGCAGTGAAAATAAACTGACACAAAGAAATATCTTTCTTCTGCAAGGAAAATTTTCTTCAAACTTAATTTTCTTTTGAAAAATCAAAATTCAACCAGTTTTTAATGCAATTTTTCCCTGATAACTCAAATAATTTTGAAGATTTTTACCAATTTCTTCTTTTGCTTTGTTGGAAATACAAGTACAACAGCTCTTTCATTTAGATCTCTGTATAAATAATTTTCTTAATTTGGATTCAAAATTAATATATTGATTATTAGTAGTTTTTTCAGTTTTATAATTTTTTTATCACAAAAACTATTGAACTGAAATGTATGGTTTTGTTGATATTACTTGGTTACATGCATCCTAAAAATTCCATAGCTTTAACATGATTTTTTTTTTTTAGTTATGAGTGAAATTGTTAATAAAATCGGCAGTTCTGGAAACCAATCTTCAAAGTTTGATTCATGTATTTTGCTTACCTTACTACTCTACTAGATGAATGATGCAGCGACATACCTTTTAAATCATAACTCAAATACTATTGCACATATCGAAATATTTTTTCACCAAAATATTACTGAATAATTAATGCATTGAAAATAAATGTTTTCAAAAGTGGAATTTTTTAAGGTGTTAAGGTGTATTTGCCCCATTAAGACAGGTCTTGAAATAAGGTCACGTACAATTTTTCGAAAATGTGAGTTGTTTTGGGAGAAATATGGGCAATTTAAATTTTTTAAAACATTTATTCTCTCTACGGCACCAAATGTTTTCTTCAAAATTTCTCCTCGTATGCATCAAGAAACGGTAAAAATATTGTGCTAGTTCCAGTTTCAGCAAACTCTTCCTTTCTTCGAAAATTGCAAAAAGTGAACATTTCAAAACTACTAAATTGAGGATAGAGAAGTTTGCCCTTTGGAAAAAGCAAGTAGTTTTTACATAATCTGAGCTTGAAATTAATGCAATGTATAAAAAGAGAAAAACATTTTCTCAAACACCGCTCCAAATTTTTTCTTCAATCTTTTTCCACGGATAGGAGAAAGAACACTTGAAATAGTGGTTCGGATCTTTGTTGAACTCTCTAATTTTTTGAAAATCGGCAAATTTAGAAATAATGTGAGAAAGTACGTGCTGTTGAAACAAAAGTAGTTCGTGCTTGGGTTTGTTAAGATTTACAAATATTAATTTAATGCTCACAAATCACAGTTTTCAATCTATATCAAACCATCGCATTTTATAAAGTAATTTTATTAACTTAGTTCTATGTTGTAAACGTAATGCAATTCGAACTGTAAAAAAATACGTCAGCAAAATTATGCATCTGTATTTGCCGCCTTGTAGTACTACGTTCAAACAACAGTAACTCGCAAGTCCATTCTTTCCTTATTTTCTGAAATAGCTCTAAAATATTATTTCTTTAATCCCTCTGATTTTCGAATAAACATTAAAATTTAAGACGGAGTCAAAAAGGCTGTCATAGTATGTTGGTTTGACCAAGAGTAAACGTGTCGCCAGTAAGTGGGATGGTGTCTCGACGGCAACCTATAAAAGAGTGGCTGAAGGTTCATTTTTCGTAGTCTTCGTCAGCACTGGTGGTAGAGGAGAGATTTGTGATATCTTGCGTGGAAGCTGAGTGTGCGTGGGTCCAACGTTTCAGTACCGAATCCAAATCCTAATGTCGCAAAGTCAGCTAGCCGTGGTGAGTATTATTTAGATCATTGACAACTCTCGAATTGTGCAATTGAGGATTACAACGAAATTTTCCACCGGCTGATCTAATTGCCGGCGGAGGTGATCTCTGGGGATACATAAAGGTTTTGTTAATTTTAAATGTCAACTTTCATACTAATGTAATTCTGAAAACTGAAAACCGAAATATAATTGGGACCGATAAGCAAGTTGACGGTATAAATCCTGACCATGTACAGCCTTGGTGGGGTTAAGTCGAAAAAAGTTGCTGGTGGATTTTAGATAAAATCGTAAACTAGAACTTATGTGAGAGTAACATGTTTTGGACGTTTTGATCATGAACATGTAAATTATTAAATATACCTTTGTCTTGGTACTTGTATTACCAATTTTGGAGGCGTGGAAGAAAAAATTCTATTTCCTCGGGAAACGAATTATTTTGTAAAAAAATAATAGTTCTGTGCTAACTTTCGTTTTTCGAAATTATTTACTTACCAAGAAATGGGAATTTCTTGTTTCTGGGGGACTGAGATGAATTGCATGTAATGTGACTCATGTGCAAATGGAATGATATGTAATTGAATGCTTGTGAATAAACTATCTGCTATATGTTCAGATACATTGCTGGATGAAAAAAAATCCCAAAGTACCTTTAAAAGAGTGAGAAAGATGAATATACCAAAAGAAAGTATTTGCCTTGCTCCTATGTGACTTTTAAATGTTTTTGACTGTTTTGTTGTTAAGAGAATAAGAAAATCTAATTATGTCTTGGAGTTGTGTATGATTTGTTTTAGTGAGAACAATAGTCTGTTTAAAAAGCAATTTGTTACAGTGTTGTGATGATTTTAGAGGATGTGCCCAGGTTTTTTGGGCTTAGTTTTGTGCATTTACAACAAGTATGTTCATATTCAGAAGTAAACTTGATGCTGATTCATAATATATTAATAGTTATTCTTTGAATTATGACTTGGTGAAACTGAAACGAGGGTAATAGGGTAATATTTGTGAAATATTCAGATTTATAAATGGCATCAAATGAGAAAAAATATGGTTTTGGAAGATGAAGTAACAGGATACCTTGCACAAATTTTCATGTTTGAATAGAAGGTTGTTATTTGGTACTGTTGTTATTATTTTGTAATAAGATTGATATCTCGAATTTAATATATTAATTGAAAATATTTTTTAATAAAATGTAATGCTAACTCAACCCAAGAAAAATATTAGATATGTATTGGTGAGTAAATAGAGTTGTCGATTTGTATTTTAGGTGAAGATCTATAAAAGTGTCATCGATGATGTACTTGCTGGGGTGAGAGATGCCTTTTTAGATGAAGGTGTTGATGAACAAGTTTTGCAAGAATTAAGACAAATATGGGAGCAAAAACTTGAGTCAAGCAAAGCAATTGAAGCAAATCCAGAACCTGAAGCTCCACAGCCACAGTACCTTCAGAAAGAAATTGCACGCAATAGCTTGCCTTCAAAACCAGGTATTGTAATGGAGGATTGAGTAGGGTTCAAATTAGTTTTTTTAGTTGGATTTATGCACTAGTCCAGGGATCTTCAACATGGGTTATGTGGGACCCTAAGGTTCTTTGGAACGTTGAGAAGGGATCCACAAGTTGTCACCATTTGTTCAGACAAAATAGTTGTAAAATGGAAGTTGTCTATACAAGGATTTTTGTATGTGGAATAGGAGTAGTGGATCGTCTTATTAAAATGTTAGGTTAATATTTAAGTAAAAATTACATAGTTAATATAAATTGGTTATAAAGGCAGATGTTTGCATGATCACACAAGATTGATTAAACATTTGGAGAAATTATAAGATTTCTACCAAAAAACACAAAAATAATAATTTTTTAATTTCATTTTTAGAGTTTATTTTAATTTTGAAACATAAATGAATTTTTGTGATTTTTGTTCTTACCTGATGGTGTGTGAAAGTAGATTGCATGAAAGGTAAAAAATTAAACGTTTTATTGAAAATTTTATTCTTTGTTTGTCCAAAAAGAGCAAAAAGGATACCTGTGTATTAAATTATTATTGTTATTGTTGTTATTCTTGCTGTTGTTATTATTATTATTTATTATTATTATTATTTATTATGTGACTATCACTTTTTATATATTTTTGACTGTTTAAATAATTTTGCAAATTTGAGTAGAAAAGAAAGCTTTGATAACCAATTTCATCTGCTACATAAACTTGAAGGTCCTTCAAGAAGACCGCACGCTCAAGGGGTTCCTTAAGGTGTAAAAGGTTGAAGACCCCTATACTAGATTTGATTAAATGATTATTATTTGGTAGACTTTAGAATCTTATCTTCTTCTTAAGAATGTTTTATTTTAAATAGTTTTTCAGTTGAGTTAGAGGTTAAGATTTTGGTAGGATTTTGCTTGTTGCATCGTAAACATGTCAAATAATATGCACATGTATGCCTATTCCATTTCTTTACCATATTTCCACATAGCTAGGGTTTTTTTTTTGGAAACTGTGTAAAATACACAGAAAACCATAAAACCTTTTGGGTGTAATGACTTCTCTTATTGCTTTATATAGTTTGTTAATGCAAGTTCAACTTTGAAGTATTAGTTACGATTTTTTGGTCGGGTGTGATTTCATAAAAAGAGCTCATTCTCATAAAAACATTTAGTGTGTGTCAGGCGAGAAATATATATATGAAATCAATATTTGAGTTGTCATTCACACTAATGTGTGCATGGGATCAGCAAAACAAAACAAATGTCTGAACAACAAATTGCAACATAAATAGAACGTACAAACAAGAATAGTACAAATTTGATAGTGTATTGAAAAAGGTTCATGAAGGCAATAATTATTTCAAAATAAAATAATTAAAGTGTTATCTATTGACTCCATATCTTCCTTTTTAAGTATAGTGTGAAATTTTAAGTTTTTTTTGTCCTCTTGAGTGACACCAACACTTCACACAATCTGGAATTGTTCTAGTTTGGAGTAATTTTCCTGGATGGATTTGTAAAATTAGTTCTGCAAGATTAGTCTCTTTTAAATTAATTGTAGTTTGAAATAGGAAAATTGGAATTTACAAAATAATATTGTTTAGAATTGTGAAACTGTGAGAAAGTAATTTGCTTTTATTGCAAATCTGATATTAAGATGCTGTGTAGATTATTACAAGTTGTAGATTATTACCTTTGTTTGTTGGTGTTTTTAATAGAAATTGTATGCATATTACATGAAATGAAGTCTATATTTTATAAATTAAAAGTTTTGATTATTGATCGAGCTCACTTCTTTATGCGAAAAGAAAAAATTAATTATTTATTGATTGAATCAGCAGGAATAAATAAAATATTGTATAATTTCAAAAGTTACTGAATTGTAACTAGTTAAATACTATTAATAAACTATAAACACATATGAAGTTAGTCTTTGTTTAATAAAAAATGGCATCATGGAATTTTTCTTTTGCAGGCAATGTTTATTCTTATCAGTCTGCTCACAATGCTGTACATAATTCAAGTCAACAGTCGCATATGGTTTCTCAGCATACGAATCAAATGCAGGTTCAAGGAAATCAATCACAAGCTGTATCCCAATCACAGCAACAGCAGCAGCAGCACCATCAACATCATCAACAACACCAACAACAACACCAACCACCACTCCAACAACAACCTCAACATCATCACCAGCACCTTCGTCAAGAGCAGTCGCAACATCAGCAACACCAGCAACCACAGCAACAACAACAGACTCAACAGTCACAAGCACAGCAGCAACAGTCCCAGTCTCATCAACAATCTACCAACACTCATTCAACAACTCCCCAGACCGTCATTGTGGCCGACCCCAGCAAACAAGTTCCTATTCAAATAACCCTCCCTGCACAAGCTGGTGGAGAGTCACGTGTACTGACAATTCAAGTGCCTGCTTCTGCTTTGCAAGGTAGGGAAAGGGAAATGTAATTGGGATATTGCTTTTTGAAGTGTAAAAATGTGTGTACAAAGTTAAGATTGGACAATGACTTAGTTGGCAGACCTGGCTCATTGCAGTTTTTCGTTGCACCCTGACCATCTCTAAAGTTCTTAAAGAGTTCAGAGAGAAACATTGTCATATCCTTACAAAAATTGTCCTTGCTCTCTTGTTTAAGCATTAAAATGCTAAGTACAACGTAACAAATGTAATTTTTTTTAAATCCTTAAATTGTCTGGAAAGTTGATCCTGCAACTGGCATTTTTGGATTCAAGAGGGTAGCACTGTAAAAAGGATGATACCACTTATCTTTATTTTTGATAATAAACATTAAGGAAAGTTCAGATATTCTCTCTTCCAAATTTGTTATTATCTTTCGTTGAAATTTATGATTTTAAGTACCATGTGGTGAACCTGTTTTCAGTGGAAAAATAACTTCTGATTTGATGAAGGTTTCAGATTTCATATTTTACACAATTTTTTTAAATAATAATTTTATAAGGAATGTTCACCAGTGTATTAAAATATTATATAAAATCAAATATCTTAGACCGCAGTTTGTGTAGATTTAACTTCCATAGTTTTTCCTCCCTTGATAATTTGTTTCTTGTGGGTATAATTATTTTCACCCTCTTTCAAATTCATTTTGATTAAATAAAAGAAAAACCATTAGATTAGTTGTTATAACTTGGAGAATGGTCCTGGAGTTGTTGTTGACAATTGATTTATTCTTTAAGGTTTATTAACACAAATTAGCAATTGATAAAAAATACTTGTTACAGCCAACTTTTTGAGACTATTTGGTCTCATTTTCAGTACTTGGTATTTAGGTCTTTAGTACAGACCTTAATTGATAAGAACACAAAAATTGATTTTTGGGTAATGACTTTTTCAGGTAATCAGTTGCAACAGGTTCTCACTGGACCTGTGATAACAGCTACAATGGCACTTCCTGTGCATCTGGCTTCATCACTTTTGCAACAGCATGTGAATGCTGCATTGCAAGGGCAGGTAACTACAGCTGTCCAACTACAGTCTTCATCTCTGCAACAAAACAATGCTGGACATTTGCAAAACCAGTCCAACTCGATTCGCCAGCTGGATGGGATGGATGGAACGTGTGATACATCAGATGAGGAGGAAGATGATGATGATGAAGAGGAAGATGTTGACGATGAAGAAGAAAATGATGAAAAAGAGGAGGATGAAAATGAGGAAGAGAATACAGAGGGCCAGGAAGAGGTAAGAGAAGGGACAGAGGGGGGAAAAACTTGCTTGGTAGATCGTAATGTTCCTTCAGTAGTGTGTTATTAAGTTCTTTTTATGGAAATGAAATTGTTGCTTAAAGAGGACTGTGAGTTACTCTATTAAAGTACTAATATAACATTTAATCACTTTACTTTATAATAAACATAAGTGCCTGTGATGATTTCAAATGTTTTGTTGTAGGAGCCTTTAAATTCTGGAGATGATGTTAGTGATGAAGATCCTAGTGACTTATTTGACACTGACAATGTTGTCGTGTGTCAGTATGATAAGGCAAGTTGAAGTTTAATCATAATTGTTGTGAATATGAAATATCATTAAACTGAAGAATGTTTTCTCTTGTAGTTACTCGATGGTAATGTATCGCACACTGCCAGTAATAATAATAATTAACATTAAAAGGGAGTAAAATAAGATTTTATTCACTTTAAAAAGTCAGTCTTGAGGTGATGATCAGGGCCTCTGTTTTAATTTTCATCTGTGAAAATACTTTTACTCACAATTACCATATTATTTTATCCATTACCACTCCAATAATGAAAGTATGAAGGTTTCAATTAACTTTCCCACATACAAATATATGAAGTAATATATGTAGTATAGAGAAAGTTATGCAATGCTGCAAAAATCAATTTCGAGATTTCAATAAAAATAAATGTTTCGAGGTCCCCTTATACCATAAAAGTGTAGTTTTATTTTTTATTTTTATTTTTAAATACGTTCATCTGTCTTCTCTGAACTACACTAACATCTATACTATGTGAAGGATTTTTTCCTATCTGAATAAATCCCTGTCGATCTGGCCTCACTTGAAGCTCTACAATATTGAAAAACTTACATTCATTTGTGGGGTACTTTGCATGAAGCCCTTGTGACATTTAAAAAAATTTTTCAAAAACGGTTCAAAATTTTGTCTTTAAATTTCTTGTAAAATTAGACTTAAAAAGGTGAGGTAGGTTAAATTTCCTGTTAAGTCTTGATTTTCAAGAATTGCCAAAGATTAAAATTCTTTTGTTACTCCCTTGAGTTACAAAATTGAAAATGGAATTTTTTCTTTGAAGTTAAATTTGTTCTCCATAAGAAGTTTGTTCATTGAGATCATGTGCATTTTTCCGGGAAATTTTATTAGGTTTCGCGCATTATTGAGTGAAATATGTGCAATATTAAAAAGTATCAAAAATAAGAATTTTTCAAAAAAGGCTCTGAACATTTTCTTTGAGTTTTTGGTAGAGATGGTGCTAAATATATTGCTTAAGATTGTATAAATGCCATTTTGCTATATTCTTTTATTTAAAAAAATGTAATTCTTGAGTCTTGTCTCTCATGTCATTAATATTCACACAATTTGTTCACATTATTGCATTTGTAAGGACACGTGCTGTATTTGAACAATGTCATAATGTTACTTCAAAAATGTAGATGTTTTTTTGTGAAAAGGAGTTTAAATTTCCGTATTTTCTGAAACGCTGAAATGCCATTTTCTCACATACGGCTGCAGATTTTTTCTTCAAATATTTTGTACAGAGTTTTTAAATATATTTTTTAAGACAACGTTAAAAATGGCTGCAATTTCGCAACAAAAATGTATTATTTAGATGAGGTTTTACTATTTTTAAAGGAAAAGGCTGTTCTATTATTAGGAAACTGAAAAATCAAGAGAATTTTTAAATAATGTACTTTAGAAGGCAGTAGGTGACAGCTGGCAAAAGAATGGGGCAAGACCAAAAAGCTAGCCCATACCAAAGACATTACAAAACTAAATACGTGAAAGTCTGTGCTCTTTTGTTGCATCACTAGTTAAAATTTTATCCTTACTCTGATTTACAGAGCTTCTATATGGTCTTGCCTTTGTAGAATTCAGTGATGTTGATGAGAAAAACTGGGATGTTCACGCAATTGTGGTGTTTTAAATTTTTTTAATTTTTATAATGACCGTATGTCAACATCTCCACTCTTAAGTTTCATAGGAAAATATTGAATCCGAAGAAAACTTTTCGCATTTAATGCATATTGTAGCGATTTCAGACATAAAATGTGTTTATTTGTATATTTTTCAATTTTCTGCCAAAAGTAACTTTTATTTATAAGTAAAAGATATTAATTGGTGCAAAGCATACAGTTTCTTATGATTAAAGTAGGTGTATACAAAAAGCTTTAGGTGTTTTAGAGCCAGGATGAGGGAAGTAAATTTTGTTGTAGTGTTCAGTAAATTTAGAATGATCTATTGAGAAAATAATTCCCTAATGATTAAGTTCATTTCTTGTTGACAGCCTGCCTTGTAATTAGTCCAATAGTGTCAAAAACAAATGTTCATTACATCATGTGATATGGCAGTATATTCAAACTTCAAAGCAATACTACTTGATTAAAAATCCTAAGAACAGATGATCTGACCACAAATGGATTTTCTGTGTTTTCTATGCAGAATAAAACATGCAACGGTAGATAATCTATTTTACATTTGCATTGCATATACAGAACAACCACGCAAATCCGAAATTTCGGATAATTCGAACAGAATTCAGGATGAAGGAAAAATAAACAAAATAAAGAAAAATCTGAACAGAACAGACCCCCGATTAGTTCTGATTACTCGGGTTCTACTGCTCTCAGCTGTGGGATTTTGGATCTTTTATTGGGGAGGGGGGTATATTTTCACTTTTTCAAAAATTTTAAACGCTTAGTTTTTGGTTCTTGAACACACTTTATATTCACACTAAAACTGCTCTATCACAGAAAAGTTAGTATTTTTTTTACCCTTACCTTGACTTCTGCTGCATTGACAATTTTTTTCTTTTGAAGATGTGTTAAAGAAAATTGTTTTACACGGACACTGGTCTTAAGTTTTCTGTTTGGCGGATACCCTTCCATAGATTACAAGTAATGCTGAAAAACACATGATTTTTATCGCATCGCAGACCTATGAAATTTTGTTTTGTGAGAAGCACCAACTTTTCGGCATTTGAAATATAAGAAATGTTAGGAAATTTGTAATGGAAATAATTTATTGAACCATAATATACATATGATCCTTGTAATTCTAAACAATATGGTACATTACAAGAAAATACGCTCTCGGACTATTACATTCAATTTAGGGTATGGTGGGTATGGATGGTGCGAATAGTTAGAATTTAGTACAGCTCCCATTTTATATGCCTTTTTGCTAATATATACAAAAATTAACGTATAAAATCACGTGTAAGCTGCCCATCAGAGTTATTCTCTTAAAAGATCATTCTCAATTAATTCTAAAAATTCTTTCGCAAAATCTTCTACATCTACATTTTATTCTTCCCTGGATTTGCTTTCTACTTCCATATTTTTGTCCCCTAATTTTGAGATTCCCTAAGATGGCAGCAATAAAACAAACACACACACACACACACACACACACAAAAAACCTTCCTGGAAATTTATTAGAATCTTCTGGCCAGACACGAAAAGATGGATTTGCACACGCACGCACGCGCACACATGCACACACACGCACTGGCTGTTATTCAAGTACTGTAGAGTGATTAATTGTTTTATTAAAATACAGAAAAAGTAAATAGTATTTTATAATATAAGGTTGAAGATCCACAAAATAAAATATTGAAATATATATGTTTTTAATTGCCCTAACATTAGGAGGGGTAGTTGTATGTATATACGTATGTTCTTGGTGTGACCGCCCAAGGGCTCGGGCATACTGGCGACATCCTTGCCTCGTGGCCATGGGTTAAGAGGGTATGGGTGGTTTGCACGTAGGCATCCCTATGCCATATTCCGGTCTTCTCAACCTGAGAAATTAATTTTCTCATTGTCACACAGCAACATATACTGGGACATTGCAAGGAAAACGCACACTATAGTTTTGGCTCGGACGGGAATTGAACCCTGGACTGCATAGTGGAAAGTGAACATGCTGACCAAAACCTAGCCATGAGCGCCAGGGGGGACAGTTGACCCCTCTGAATCCCGCCTGTGACTGTACTCTCTTTAGGTGACAAAAAGATGTAAATGTCAAAATACCCTTTTTTGGATTTAAATGTTGCTTATTTTAAAGATTTCGGTGTATATTTCAAAATTTTGGGTTGTATTTGCATGTGTATTTTGGAGCTAAAGGCTTGCATAAAATTTCTGGCCCTATAGATGCACAAGCAGATCGGGCATTATAGGTGATGTGAAAGTGAAGATGAATGGAAGTGTGAAGAAAACAGCAGAGTTGAAAGATGTCCAGGAAGAAATATTAGAAGAAATGTACTGGACATCCAAGAATGTTTCTCTTAAATACTGAAAGCATTGCAGTAATTTTTACTTTCTCACCTTATTTGACATTTTTTATAAGGCTCTAGTTCTCTTCTAACCAGAGCCTCTCCTCCGCCCCTCCAACCCTCATTCTCTGGATCTTCCCCAGTGCTACCCGTAAATTGAAGTGCCATGCTGAGAACCGAACTGCATTTTGGAGGCACATACGAGGATTGTTCTGGAAAGTCTGGATTGTTCTCTTAGAAGTGCTTTTGCAGTTTGATTGCTTAATAAGTACTCTCCCCCCCCATATTTATCACAAAAACAAAATAAAATTTTTGAAGATTTTTCATTTGCATAATCACCATCCAATCCAATATCTAATAAATAATACCTCCTAACATCAAGTGTTCTTGTGTGAAGAAAAGCAATATTTCAGTAACTGATATATAATTAGGTGAAACCATTACAAAGCAATTTTGAACTGATATCTCTAAATGATATTTAAATTTCAAGAGAAAAAGGAAAATTTAAGGGTTAAAATTTATGGTAATTGTTTCAATAGAATTTTGAACTAAGTGGTGCCCATTTTATTCCATAACGAAGACTGTATTAGAAGAAGCATCATCTTTGGATTAAATTGTACCTATGTATCAAGAAGGTAGCTAAATTTACATTTTTAAAAGCAAGAAAAAATTTGCAATATGAGATCAACGGCTGAAGCGGATTGGGATGCATACTTTTATTCAAAATTAATTGAAAGAAATTGAAAATTCTCACATCCATTATTAATTTAAAAAGTGCAATCCAATAAAAATTGTTGAAGTTATGGAAAATGTATATCATGCTTTTGGGTTTTTTAGACCAATGAAAAAACGTGTTTGATGTGTTACAGAATGTCAAAAAAATATCAGAACTGTACTATTTTAACTACACACTAGAGATGATTTATTCAGAAGAGTCCCTTTCTCTTTGAACAATCTTGAGACAGAATTTTGAATCGTGATACGGACGTCATTTTAGTACTTGTTTTATTTTGAAATGATTATTATAAAATTGCACTCTTTGAGGGTTACTCTATGATATGGCATGTTTTAGGTAATGCTACCTGAAAATTGCACGTTTTGGGATTTTACTAAACACATTTGCAAGCAGTGCATTCGGGTGGTGTGTGAAACCCGAGTGCTGTTTAAAAAAACAATTAAGCATTTTGTTGCCCAATGAACTGAGCTACCTTACATGAAATCTACTGACTAATTAAAATTTCTTAGTTATTGCAGCAGGGATAGGTCCTCAGCCCTTGGTTGCGTCCTCACAGTAAACATAATGTTCGGGGTCTATCTTCTTAATTGGATCATATATCTATTTTGTTGGTCTTCACTGAACTTACGAACATGAGACTGCATGCGCGAACTGCATTTGACCTTACGTCCAGGCATGAAGCATAGTGGCTAGCACCCTGGGTTCCAAATTCATTGAATTTCTCAGAACATGTTGCCCTGCGATGTAGGAGAGAGCATGAACTGAGTTTTCGACCACTTTTAGCTGTATGCACTGCGTGCGTACATCAGACTGAGGTTTGGCACTCAGTGTCGAACAGAATTTTTTCCTTTCTGAAACAAATATTAGTTGATAGAAATATAATAATTTCTCAGAAAATAATTACAAACACGGTTTGTTTAAACAATATGTATTGTAACTTAATTATAATAAAAACACTTAAATCATAATATTTCATTCACCTTAAATATCACATCTAAATTCTAAAAAAGTTGAAAGTGGATTATGTGGAGTTTTGAAGCTACATAACCCTGTTTTGCAAAGTTTTGATATTTTTATTGGCATGTTTTTTGTGTTTTTACTGCAAGTTTTAGAGAATTTTGCTTGAAAATACGGTCTGTAATTATGACAATTGCTACTGTGATGTAGAAAAGGTGAGAGGACTGACAATATGGGAATGAGTAATGTGAGATTTCCACAATTACATTGAGCTGCCTAAATTTATTGTCCCTGATATAATATGTTATGTTCACTTATACTATTTTGCTAAAGCTGATGGGAATGTTGCTCGTATCTCATATGCATTTAGGAAACAGTACCAGTTATAATCAGACAGAGTTGATTTTTTAAAAATTACATTCATGATAATAAGCTGTGTGTAAATAATAGATTACATTCAACTTGTAAATTTTAATGTATTTATTGAGACTTTGAAAAGGTAAATTAAAAAAGAAAATACAGTTTGTTAATTATTAATAGTTTTGAAATAATTTCACGAATAAATAATTTTGAACAGGCACGGATCCACGGGGAGGGAAATAAGGAAAATTCCCCCACCTAAAATTTTTCTGTAACTCTTAATTTGAACTAGGCATGAGACTTTCAAGCAAAAATATTTTTGGATAATCATTAAAACAAATAAAATCGTATCAAAGCATGAGCCGAGTATAGCCACTAGCATTTAACAAAATAAGTAATGACACATTTGATACGAATAAAACATTTTTGATTTCCTCTCCCAAAATTTGCCTCTGGATCCGCTCGTGTTTTGAAACTTGTGCTTTAAAGCAAAAAAGTTTGTAATTTTGTATTTTTAAAAGGGGGGTGATGTTGAGAAGTAATGGGCTCTTGGCTCCCCTCTAGATCCACCCTTGATCTAAAAGCGGCACAATTTTTTTTGCAATTGTTAATGTGTCACATATATTGTTTGTTCATAAAGCTTTGGGTCTAGTTTTACTCGTGCATCTACCTTCTGTCCTCATGATGGATTGTGTACAATAGCTATGATGTATGTTAATTTCCTGTACCAATGCACGCGGTTATTACTGCAAAGTATGTATATTGACCATCTATCCCGCCCCTACCAGCCCGGAAAATCTATCTTCTATGTATATTGAGTTCATGAAAGTTGAAGTACAACTCAAAAGGTGTAGGAATAAACATGCATTATTTTCAGCCTTCAGGACAATACTACTTCGAATTGGTTCTGTTTCTGAAACAAAATTGGTGAGACTTTCATAAAAATATCAACTTTTTACAATGTGACTTGCTTTTTTGGACCTTTGAAGAAGGTATTGGGTAGCAAGTTTGGTATTAATGTGGAGCTAGAAGATAGTGCAAAAGGCTATTCACATGATCAGGAAGCTCTAATGATGCTAAGCTCGTATGGAAAGTACCAGGAAGGTGTACATGTCAAAAATGTGTTAATAAGCATGGAATTTGTGTAGAAAAGAAGTGGATTTTTGACAATTCATTGAAGAGTTTTAGAAAGTCTCGTTTATATTTATGGACTAAGGAAGTTTTGTAAATATTAACATTTTTATTTCAAGTTTAAATACAAATTCTGAAGGTATAAGTAATATTTACTTATGCATGGAAAAAGTAATTAAAATTGGTTTATAAAATTTGTAATTGTTACTATTATTCTTTTGCAGAGGGTAGAAATGTGATGAGAGTGTTTGTTTGTAGGTGTTTGTGATATGAGAGTTTTTTGTAGGTGTTTAGTGTTTGTGGTTTACTAAATGGTAGTGGGAGCTGAACTAATAAGTCTAAACATGGCTATGGTTGTAGTTTTCGATCTTTAATTGCCAGCAGCAAGTTGAGCCAGATAACATACTATTATGTACAGAGATGCTGTCTTTGAAAGGAGTTGGAGGCTAGAAACTAGCATGGGATGGAATTCCTTGTGGCCAAAGAAAGTTTATCAGCATCAATAAAAGAAATCCAAGAATCTTGACTGGTCTCTCCTCACTTTCTCATAGTCATATTTAAAACTTTTGGTCCTTGAGTCTGGGTTCAACTTTCTGCCTAATGTTATGCCTCTGCTTGGAAAGCAACACAAAATGTACAGCACCCACCTTGCAAATAGGTTTCCAGCTTTATTGGGATTGGTGCCTGAAAAAAACAAAACAAGAAAACTGTGAGAAACAGCACAGTAATTATACACTTAATAGGTATCGGAATAAAAAAAGGCAAAAATGAAAATGCTTGACAATTCTAGAACCACAATTCAGTGATTGTTGTTCCTGAAGTGTTAAAACTGGAATAACAATAAAAAAGCATTCTGCCAATCACCCAGGCTCTGTTAATAATATGACTGAATATAAATTAGCTTCAACAGAACATTTCCCTGCCATATTTTTACACAGTAGTCATGGAAGACAGGGTGTTGGCACCTAGACAAAAGTTAATAAAGGCAAAGTAGAAAAATCATAAGGGCCTAGATATAAAAGAAATTTGCATAGAAAGAACTTGGAAGTATTTTAACAAAAAGTTAAAAATGATGAAAGACCAAGTTTATGTCCCATATTTGTAAATTCCTAACAAACCATTTGTAAAACATCTAGTAAACCTAAAAAACACTTCACCACATTTATAAGTTTGTACATTTCATCCTCTTTACCCACAGAACCATTGTCTTCCTTTCTTAAACATTCTGAGCAGACATCGGTGGTCAAACCGGACTGAGTGTGCAATTGCTGATGGCTCAGATTTTACTATATTGATCAAAGTAAAATGAAATATTTAAAACGGTTGTTTGTAGGAAGGTACTGAAATTGCACGATTCTTACAGTGAAAGATATTAAAGGAAATAAAAATAAATTTGTGCAAGCTGTCAGAATGGAAATGAAATTAATTTTGAGAAGCAAGTAATGTTGGAATGTATTTAGAAAAGTTCTCCAAAGAACTGGTAAAGAAGCTCTGGAAAGAACCTCTAAAGTACTGGTCGTATGGAAAGAAAGCAGGAGTGTGATAACCTTTGGTTTACTTCTGGTTCTCAAACAGATTGAAATGATTTTGTTCTTGTTCATCTGAATAAATGAAGATGAGCCTTCTTCAAGACCATCAAAAAAGTGATGTTCCTCACAAACTAACATCAGAAGACATGTATCGAGAGGCAAGAATACACTCCCAAGTAAAGCGAGAAATACTTGAATATGTTTCTATTTAATACTTACTGCAAAACTCTGACTTGCATTCGTTTCTGAAAAAACAAATAGTTTGAGAGGCGACCCCTGTAGTGGGGGTCTGTCAAATCGAAATTCACCCTGAACAAACAGACCTAGACAATTGTCTGATGTGATGATGTGTGTGCTCGTCAGAGATGTTAATTCAGAGAGATTTCACTATAGAAAATTAGTGCAGTTCAAATAATTTCAAACTTTCTAAATTATTTAAACTCAGATTAATTAATTCTTCTTGCTTTCATGAATGTAGCATGAAATAACAGAAAGATAAATATATTAATTATGGAAATAACACTAGATTTCATAATCATCGTATTTATATATAATATAAAAAGGCTAAGCCGCATTCGCAACATTTCCAAAAAACTTATATCAAAAATGCTTCTAATATGACCGCAGGTACCCAAAACTGGCTGTAATATTACACATTTTATTGAGATTCAAAAACAAAAAATTGGTGTTTTATTAAAAAATTAATGTTCATATTCCTCCCTAACTTCTTAATTGTGTTTATGAAAGGATAATTTGATCAAATCTGAAATGTTTCAGTGGTTGCAAACTGCTTTTATGTGATAAGGGCTTGTTAGGTTTATTGAACTTGGATTTTGTATTACTTGTTGTGTTGTTCTGGGTTTAAGATTGTGCAATTAAAAATGAAACTAATTCAATCTTCAGTGAAAAGCTAATCATAGTTTCAAAGTGCTTAACTCTATTTTATATCGATTTCACTGTATTGTTAATGTATTTTCTAATGGTTATTTTATTGGTTTCAGATTACTAGAACCAGAAACAAATGGAAATTCCACCTTAAGGATGGCATTATGAACTTAAATGGGAAAGATTTTGTTTTCCAAAGAGCTGGTGGAGATGCAGAATGGTGAATCCAAAATTGAATTTCTATAACTTCCTAGTGAGACTTTTTATTAGTTGTTTATCAGAGCTAATTGCTGCAGCAGTGACTTGAATGAGTGAAGTAAATGATGGAGTGAAAGTTACCTTGGGGTGCTGTTTAGTATAGTGAAAGAAGTTAATAAACAGAAAAATTGAATTTGCTTGCAACAAAAGTCAAGTGAAATATTTTCACAAGTTCTTACTGTGCAGTGTCTGTTAGCCAGCCTCTGATATGTTTGTTAGCCCTTAATGAATTAACAGCTCAGGAAAATACAGGTGGTAAGTACCAAATTAAATATGTGAGAGGAAATCTGTCGTTTGTGGTGTTCTTGCCTCAAGAAGCGGAGGGCATTGACAGCACTTTCCCTGATCAACTGTGGGAACTTTAGATGAGGGCTGGGAGGTTGTGATTTAATGTTTTTGTTTCCCTGAGGAGCTCAGTTATGGATGAGCTCAATTAAAGGGTAGGCAGTTTTATGCCAAATCATACATCTAGTGATCAGAGGTTACTCTGAGAAGCCAAGGCCACAAGTAAAGTACGATAATGAAATTCTAAAGAGCAGTTTTCATACATATATTGTACAGTTGGATAAAAGAGTTGTATTTCTTTCTTGGTAATTTAGAAAACCTTCCTTTGTTTCCTGAATGTTCTGCATTTTAAAATTTCTTGAAATATTTAATATGTATTCATTTTCTTCTTTTGGGAGTACTTGTGTTGATCATTTTTGTGGAAAGAGTTTTTGACAAAGGGTGATTTTGAACCTGCAAATAAAAAAAATAATTAAAAAATACTGCAAGAAAAATGTTTATGTTGGTGAATATTATTATTTACTTAAGTGAATGCTAGAAGAGCTGGGTGCTCAATTAGATCACACATCATGCTGAATTTGTCAGGTTCACATTTTACGTCCTTGTTGAAGAGTGTTGAGTGTTTGATTACATTTTTTGCTGTATTTGTTTTGATTTTAAATCTTATACCTGTATGGCTCAAGCTTACAGCACAGACTTATTGTTCTCAGGAATTTGCCAATGAGAATGGAGTAAATTTTTCATGTTACTTAAGTGTGATTAAGTGCTGTAGGATTACATTAATTCCTTTCAAAATTTTCATATAAAGTGAAGATTGGCAAAAGTATTCTGTTTCCTATATGTCTTTCTGCTTAAGAGTTCAGTAATAAGTGACTGAATCCTTTATATTTGGTGTACAATTTGTTTTGTTGTCCGTTATGTATAAAGTCAATTATATCTTATTATGATTGTCATTTATTAAATAATTGACCATGATCTTATCTTTTTATTAATAATTTTTTTCCAGTAATCCTTTGACCAAATAATTTGCAGAATCTTAAAAAGTTCTGTTCATGCAGCACACAAAGATGCTCAGTGTTGGCTCGAGTGTTGTCTTTATTACAAAACTGAGCTGTTATTCTATTGTAATTAAGTGTCTCGTCATATCTCTAGGTAATGTTATCTCAATATAAGTCTTTGAAATAACATGATTGTCTTTTAGTGGCTTTCAACACAATTATCATAAATAAATTGCTTTAATTTCATTGCCATTAATTTGTGAACATTTTTATTTCCTGTTATCCAATGGCCATATTTTAGTTAAGGAATGTATAAAATTATGTATGATCTTTGGTTGCTTATTTTTCATTTGTTTGAATCTCATACTAATTGGAGATCAATCTACATTTCCTAAAATTAATTATGATTATACTGGATGTTCTGGAAATATTTGTTTCATTTAGATAAGCAGTATGAATAATCAAATATATCGAAGCAAATAATTTTTCATAGATAATATTTTGTTTCAATCTATAGGAAATTTTTGATTATTTTTTTCGATTTAAAAAAAATTATTTATTTATTCAATCATAAACAGGCAATTGCCCAACAATGCATAATTTTACTAGTGGTGCCAAATCAGCACAAATTTTCTCGCCCTTAGTAATGGTTACATCATATTTTTATACCACAATTTCTCTTTGAATTAACACATCTCGGTCATATTTTTTTGTAAAACTCATTACAAATTACAGAACGTTAGATGCAAAAACTAATAAGTTTCATGTCCATATCAACACATTCGACAATTATAACTGTGTTTCATACAGCTAAATCTTTTCTCAACAATGACATGTAATTCACAGAACAGCTGCCATCTCTTGAGGCGGAATGCCATTGTCACTTTACAATCTATTTCCTGAAGGCTAGCAATTTTGCTTTCGTATTACATTTAAAATATATATTTTTAAGTCAGAAAACCTTATTGGACTAATTTCAATTAAGATTTGCGGATTGCTTGAAAGGTAATACATCAGTACATTGAGAATGCAAATACATTCTTTGCAACACAGAGAAAAAATGTGAATTATCAAATAGGTTTTAAATAATTTCTAATAGATTAATCTGTAAAGTTATAACTAAAATTTTCCCTTCAGCATTGCTTAACTTTGTCTTCATAAGAAAGAGCGAGAAAGTAAAACATTGGTTACTGTTATTTACAATTAAATTACGAAGTATTTCATCTGCTTCATGAAAAATCATTTAACAGTGTAATTCTTGCTTGATTTAATTTATGTTTGAATATCTGTATTTAACTGTATCTGTAGTTTTTGTATTGGTCTTTAATTCATTTATTAACTTACACATTCCCTATAGTGGTGTGTGATACAATTAATTTGTCTTAGCAAAAGGAATTTCAAAACTTTCGTGGTCATTATTTCTCAAACTCATTTTTGGAACTTTCCAATAAAGTTCAGCAAGTAGATAAATACAATCTATTTTATTTTCAACCAAATTAATTAAAAATTTTGTGTAATTAAAATTTCTGTGAGATTTTAATGAGCTAATATTTATAATAGAAGCTACTGGACTATAATAACTATAGTCGAGTAGCTAACATTATAATAATTACAATTATTGTGGCCTATTCTGGGAAAGTGTAGTTTCAGTGTCCTTGCAACAAAGGCTAGAAATTTATATAAAGTTTTTTTAATAGTATTTTAATGAATAGGGGACCACACAAACGAAGCATTTATTGGCCTAACCAATGTTAGATAAAGTTTGGAATGATTTCGGATTTTTAAAATCCATAGTCATTTGTTTTATAAAGCCCAAAATATGAATTGCTTTTGAAATTATTTCGTCAACATGATGGAAATATTTAAGTTTAGGATCAATAAGAACGTGTAGATTTTTCATCAGTGTGGCATGGCCACATCAAGGACCAACCAACCAATGGAATATGTTATTCTTCATCCTAGAATTAGTCATAACTTTACATTTTGTAATATTCAAATTTATTTTATTTACACCACAACTTGAAGTCAGTAGATCTAAGTTGTGTTGGAGATTTTTACAGCCATCAATGTTATTTATTTCAGAGTATAATTTTAAATAACCAGTCTACATTAGAAATGAACAAGTTTGGACTTTGTTTCAGATCATTAACAAATATTAAGAGTACTGGGCACAAATGTGAACCTTGCGTTACTCCTGATGTAACAGTAATGTCTTTCGACACCAATAATTTATATTTATCATTTTGAAATTATGTAACAGATAATTTTTTATCATTTAGAAAATTTCCATGAATTTCTAAATTATAAAGTTTATATTATTAACGGTATCAAATGTTGAAATATCAATAAATTAGGCAGTGTTGAGTGTTACTTCTGAAACTATGTTGTAGATCTAAAAGTATATTTTGAAGAGAAGAGATTGTTTAAAATGATAGCTTCAAATAATTTCGGTATTGTAATTTCAGAAATAGGTCTATAATTTATCACGTTAAAAGGATCTCTGGACTTGAAGATGGGAGTAATGAAATTCCATTTCCAAATTGGTGTAAAAAAATCAACTCTGAAAAAGATTTTGAAAAAAGATGGTGTAAAATTGAAGTGAGATTAGTTTGACAGTTTCTTGAAAATAATGGAGGTATTCGATTTGCCCTGGGTTGATTTTTTGCATGAAAATTACCAATTTGTAAAAAAATATCAAGCTGAGTTAATTCCATATGGTATATATTAATTAATGATTTCATCTATGTTTCTAGTTTTAACATCAATATCATTGTGTGAGGATAAACTGATTAAAATTAAATTACTAATCTGTTCCATTTTCAGCATTAGTGCCATTATGACATAACCTTTGGTAAACCATCTATTCCTCTTGCATCATTTGTCAACCTCCAAAATGATTTAATCCTGCTGCTATTTGGCATGGCCATTCCCTTCATCGTGTCATTGTGCATGATCCAGTAAAGCACCGGTATATATGCAGATGACTTTGCTATATTCTGTTCGCCTAGAAGTATAAGTGTCATCAGAAAGCAACTTCAACTTGTCCTCAAAAGATTGCATCAATGGAGCAAAGCTACGGGTTTCAATTTTTCCTTACAGTGTTGCATGCCTTTTTGTAGAATCCATGGCTTCCATAACTGTCCAGAGCTTTTCCGAATGGGTCTTCAACTACCTTTCGATAACCATGCGAGGTTTTTGGGGCCCACCTTCGATAGATCGCTTTTATGGAGCTACCATAACCGTAGTTTACAGATCACGCGTTTCTTTTCTCAGCCTCCTCCGCAAGCTGAGTGCGATTTCATCGCGAGCAGATCGGCTTTCTTTCTTGCGGCTTTATAGAACACTTGTTCGATCACTATTATTTACGGATAAGCTTCCTTGTCAACCCTTCGCCCATTAAATGATGATAATAGTAGTAGTTATAATAATTCCCGGTGCTAAAGTGTGGCACTTACAACAATACTCCAGCACTAACCTGGAGATTTAGTAGTTCTGAACTGGGAAGAGCGGCCCTACCCAGGCATCAAATGAGTAGAACCCAGTGGCTGGGTGCCGGCGTGATCAGGCTTTCAACCTGAAGGTGGCACTCTGCCACTTGACGGGGACGAAGATAAAAGCCTGTATGGCCTAGATGCCGACCCCGGAGCCAGCTCCTTGAAACAATACAGAGCCGGTGCGCGGGCAGCCACAAGCGAAACATACTACCCACAATGCCTTGCCAGCCGATATAGCCATTGGTCTCGAGTGCCTCCTCGCCGATGCTGGCCATCTTTGAGTCGAAGAAAAAATATTCGGCTTTGCATACCTGTATAGGCTATTCAGCGAAATTTTCAGGCCTGCCGGATCATCCAGCCAGTCAGGTTAACCTGTATCCTAACCATCGATCTTTGGCTCTGAAGCCAACACTGACTGCTCCTCCAGGTGCCCATTTTCAGATACTGCTGGACCAGAATATCAAACCCCTGATGTAAATACCTTCCCCAACATGTTGCACAACACAAATTCTAGAATCGAATTCAACATCGAATCATGCTCATCACGAGTGGTTCTGTGCAGTGATTCCAATAGTGCACTTCAGTCACTCTTAATATTTTTTCTCGGACCACTTGACAATACAACACTTGATTTATTTATTTACGCCAAAAACAGTTAAAAACTGTGTGTGACGTGCGATGGGGAGAAGTTAATTTTAAGTTATATTTATGTCCAGAAGCAACACGGGGCCATCTCAGAATTTGCTCAAGGACCAGGGCAACTGGACGAAAACCTGATCGAGATAATCCATCTTTTGTCTCGCAACTATGATCTAGTTGAGCTTTGCTGAATCCCGGATCATGTTAGAATCACAGGTAATTCATTAGCTGATCAGCCTACAGGGGAATCGCTATTTGTTGATTTTTGCCATATTCTGCTCATCAAAGGGAATGAACGTCATTCAATAGTAACTACAACTCGTCTTGAATAGACTGAAGGAGTGGAGCACAAAAACTGGATTTTAGCTCCCCACCTCAAGAGCACCCACTTATGCCGGAGACCAACACTCGTTTACTGACGCAACTTCCTTTTTCGCTCAGTCGTTCGACAAAAGCCGAACATGGCGAAAACATGTCTGCAACTTACACTGAGCTTATGTGTACCTCCATTAAACCTATTAAGCAACATTAGCGGTACCTCTTGGGCTGCCGATCGTTCATGTCTCTTGCGATCGTATAGGATACTTATTCGATTTGTTTTGGACTGTGGCAGCATTGTATACTGCTCAGCGTTAGCTTCAAAGTTACGACCTTTAAATACTATTCATTGTGTCGGTACTTGCAGCAGCACACGTACGTATCACACAGGTAGGTATCTTGGCTGAAGCTGGAGAATCGTCTCTTAGCCAAAGACGAGGGATGTTGATAGGGTTGTGTGGTGCGAAAGTGGCAGCTGGGTGTTCCATCTCGTCGAGCGTTCTTGTAGGCAATCATCGTTCATACCTCGACCTCACCTTGGCCAATCTCCCTAAATCAACTGCGTCCACGCCATATACGAAGCACTTCAATGAGTTGAGAGCAACTTATCCCGACCATGATTTCTTCTATAGTGAGCCCTCTGCCATCAGTGACTGGAATGTGCGTAGAACGGCCTCGAGCTCATTTAAAATTCCCCTCGAACCTCCTCTTTTCTGCGGGGAAGCGTAATTTGTAACATCTGAGAGGCAAGGACAGGATTATTTTACTATTAATGTCACCGTGTCTCTTTGTTACTTGGCCTCTAAATAGCCATTATTAAGTTTTTAA